CCATTACAACGCGCCAGAGATTAGCATATCCAAAAATCATCGATCATACAAATTCACGCGGAGACACCTGGCCTGACCTCCATCGGTATCATCTTATCTCTGGTGATCTTCCCTAAAGCCCGCGTGTCATCTCAATTCTCGATCCGAAGAATTCCGGGGTCTCGTACTGTTTGGCTAATAAAATCATCCGCATCGAGACTGGAAATTATCTGACGAATTCATCTGCTTATCGAGCAATAAAACGCCGCGGTCGTCCCGATGCCGATGCTATCTTTTCTCCATTTTTTTATCTCTCTCTCTCTCTCTCTCTCTTTCTCTCTTTCTGCCGTAGGTAGATAGGTGCCTAGACATATTGTGGCGCCATGCGAACCAAACTCTTTCCAGTTCGTATATATGTCTCGCCTTTCTTGCTTACTTTTTTATCTATTCAATACGCCCCACGAGATATTCCTCAAGTTCGGGGAGGCCAGTTTAATAAGAACCTTGTATCCACTATAATATATCTATAATTCACTGAAGAAACGATTGTTATAATCTTACCTAGGAATCTTGGAGCCGAGATCTCCGTCCGTCATTATTCGTACTGTATGGAAAGAAGAAGGTGGGAAGGGAGGAGAGGTGTATGTATTAAATCAAATATAAAAATTGTTATTTATCATTAAAGAAATTTATTACTTATATCGTCTCTGTATACGCGTCTCTTCAATCATATTTCATAATTTAGTGAAATCTCTCATTAAAGCATGAGGCTCGGATGTATCGATATAATATACAAATAATTTTGACACGTATAAATGCTAACTACAAAAATATTAATTGTTATAATTTTAAAAGATATAGTGAAATGATCGAAAATGTCTATTGTGTTACATTTTTTAAAGAGAGTAGTGTAGGATGCGCATAGTGTAGGATTTATCACATTTGAAATAAGTAAGACTTTCTGCACATTTGAATATATTTGTCTTGTATAATATATATATATATATATTTCGGAGATCTTATGCAAAACAAATATAATATAATACAACCATTCGTGCTGATGACTGATACTTTTTTTCCGCTATCGACATAATAAGCATGTACACGACGGAAATAATTATTATTACAATATGTATATATCAATGCTACACACTCTCACTTATCTACACTGAGAAAAAAAAATTATTAACTTGACTAAATCCGTTCAACTAATTACCATTTTTTTAAATTGAAATATTTAAGTCAAATATACGTCATATTAGATTTAATATGTCGTATTTGATTTAAATATTTAAATATCTCAATTTAAAAAATGGTGATTAGTTGAACGGATTTAGTTAAGTCAACAACTTTTTTTTAGACTCTTCTCAATATCCAGAATATCACACATAATAAATCGTATAAGTATCTTACATTGAACACTTACTCCATCATAACCTGCGTATGTTTACATTTTTAATTTTATATATGTACAAGATTTAATTGCATGGTCTCTCTCTTTGCATAATAGACATTTTTCGCACTTAAAAATAAAGCATAATTAATCAGTTTCTTTTGTTTTTTCGCTAATATTACGATCGTAGTCTATCGTTAGATTCGAGTAATACGAGAAGCGCGTGTGAGGGATCATTGGTTTATAAATGAACAGATGAGATTATGAGACTTGCGCTATTACTTGGCGATTAATAAATTGAGGCACGAGCGTGACGCGTATATTTCTATATGTCTATATTTGATCAATTATTTTATATCGGAAGATTAAAAGATTTTCAAAATGCCTTGCTTCACAATCTTTGTTCGAATCCAAAACTGTGATTTCCAAACAGCCTCTTCACGTAGCACACCTTGGGTCACGGTCTAATGTCGGCAGTACTGTCAATTCGATAGTCCATAATCCAAAAAATTTCTTAACCAGTTTAATCATACTACCTTGAAAATGGCGCAGGGCAGATCGCGAATAAAACATAAAAAATAACAGTTTCTATTCTAAAAACAATTCAAGTTAACAGTTACATGAATTTCACAAAATTACTCGAAGTCAAAATAATACTATCATTTGATGCATCACTTGAAGCCTTACAACTTTTGTTCAACATTTTTTTTCTAAAATCCATAATTTTTGAATAAAAATAGTATGAATATATTATAATTATATAATAATAATATAATTATATATTGTATACATATACCTTGTTTCAAGATGGATATCTCTTATGGTCAGCATATCTTTATTCTGGCTTTCGAAATTTTAAGTTTATTTTCATTTTTAGAATGGAATTTTATAATTTTTTGACATTAATTAATTCTTCTTGACAGTCTACGCATACAAATATTAAAATACTTTGTAATTATTTTGTGATATCTATATATGAAATACATTACTAGTATATATTATATTAAAATGTTCTTAGTTATTAATATTATATATACTTACATATATTATATACGGAAATACACATATTTCTTGTTAGAATATATCACAATATATATAAAATATTTTCGGTATTTTTTTATGTATATTTAATTATCTATCTATTTATACGCATTATATTTTTATTTCTGTTTTGTGTTGGATTTAATCCGCACAAGCACCTATTTTTTTAATAATAGTTTTAATCAATAAACTGTAATTCAAATTATGTATATATAATATATTTCGCGTAGATATATACACAAATATATTATATATAAAATATTAAATATTGTAAATTATTTATTTTTTGATTTTAGTTTTAATATCTTTATACGCGAAATGTTAAGAAGAATCGATTTAATTTTTTCTCTTTGTTGTTGAAAGAAAACTAATATGTTACTTTTATCTAATAAATAAAATTGCCTTAAATCTCGAAAGTACTTCATATAGAATATAATTATACTGATTATTTAATATTATAGATCTGTTTCTTTTGTTTGCATTTTCCACATCCAGATTTTTCGTTCTCTCTTTCTCTTTCTCTGTCTGTCTCTACAATGCCCGAATATACATTCACATTTCATTTCAAATATAAAAAGTTTTAAAAAATGCAAGTAAGACAAACAGATTATATGTCTTTCAAAACAAAGTACATCTAAAGATTGTTTCTTAAGGCTTCTGGTCCCCCTTATTGACATTATATTATGATGTCAGAAGCGAAAAATTATGAGTTTTTTTCTTGTAAAATATATCGAAATAATTTTTTTTTTTTTAATGCAACCACTCATGTTCAATAATATGGATTAATAAAATACGCTAAAAACATTTTTTAATTCGTGAATTATTAAATAGCTGTAAAACTTGATCAATCAGAAGTACTTACAGAGATGCTTTAAATATATTTTATTTGATGTATCTTAAACATCCGTAAGCTTCTTTATAAGATCAACTAGGCTACATTGATGCATCATACTGATCATATATGCATTATATATGATCAAGCTCGAAGAAAGAATAACTATTTTTGGGCTCAATTTTTCAGGCTCAACGAAAACAAAATATGGCTTAAATTAAAATTTTTGATTAACCGAACAAAAAAATTGCTTCAGGCTATTTTTTTGCAACTCTGTGTAAAAGTTACTACAAATTAAAATATGTTTGTTAGAAAAAAGATTCATTCTTTCAATTTTATTACAAGAGATATCAGAGGTATTTTTCTGTTGAAAATTAAACTCTGATAATATATAAACTTCTTTTGATTCAAAATTATTTTTAATTTGAAATTATTTTTGAATCCAAGTAATGACATTTGTAATCGTAAAAAGTAGTGATACTAACGAGAATGGGAATCTTTTATAAGAAAATGAGAATTAGACATTTTTAATTTCTAATTTTATATATTTTGTTATATTCATCATAAGCTTAAAATTAAATCATGTTTGATTGTTATAAATTGGGTCCATTTTGGTTATCCTTTTTTTCTTTATTCATTGTCGAGAACTTGAATTTTTTCTCGAAACACTATTCTATTTTTGCCGCATTCCGATATTCACTGCCAGTACTGAAAATCTACCGTGTACGTGAAGTAAACTATACATTTCCAGTATTGGCAGTGAACAGCAGAACGCACCCCTTGATGATTCGGTGATTGTCATTTGAATTTTTTTTTTCGTGAAATCGCGTACTTATTTTCAGCAAGGCATTTTATTTCATATCATCATCTCGCAGTGAGAGATATGGAAAGAAAAAGGAAACGGACTTTAGAAAAACTTCATTATCAATCTTCACGAGCGAGGAAAATATGAATTTAACAATAAGATCTCTCGATTATCAACAAGCACTCTTACTGAGCGCTCATTTAATATTCCTTTGCTCGCCTAGATATCTTTTCTTTTACTATAGTTTATCCATTTTCTTGACTGCACATTCGTGCGTTATTCGCAAGCGCAGTTCATCGTCATATAAAAACGGAACGACACACACAGCCAATCCACATGCACATTTCCAAACTTGCCGAAATCCACTTCGCTTAAACTCTGTTCATGGGCGAGCAAAAGTTTCGGAGTACGTGGCCATAATTGCGGAACTCGAATCTAGACCACTTCCAATAATTCAACCAACGGTTTCGGAAACAAGCACTCTGTCGTTGGACCTGCCTCGTGATGCTAACACTGGTTGTTGCTCTGCCTACATATGTTTTTACTATTTTACTATTGACTATTTTGACATTTATTCATTCAGTTAATATGCAGCCGCTTGAGGATGTATTAGCTGATTGAAATGATGTCCAAGATGGTGAGGGGGTGGTGGACCCGGTAAAGGTCCCGGTTGAGGCCCGATCGTCGGTGGTTGACATACGTACCATTCCGCCAACTCTGTTGCTCCGCGGCTCGACGGATGATTCGTGGGCGGTGGTGGATTAGACGTCGTCGTCGTTGGAGCAACAGGAGGTGGTTGAGGCGATTCCGTGTGATCCGTTACGGATACGCTACAAACGCTGCTGCTGCTTTCCTCGCCCTCGCTCTCATACATTCCCATCTTTCCTTCGCTGATCATACCGTGTATCTGCGTAGAGAAAAATAATGAAAATAGCATCTTACATTAGAAATTGCAAAATGAATTCTTTCTCGTCAGGTGGATAATGATTTTTTTAATATAAATTATTACTCATCTGATAAAGAAAGATTTATTTCGCAATTTTATATATATATAATTTATCTCCCATATATTTTTTACCCCTATATAGATGTGTATGTACATTTATTTATTTATTTATATACACTGTGTTTCGCAAAAGGCTTGTAATGCTGAAATCGATCATCGAGATATTGAGGCAAAGATCACGAGGAGAGCGCATCTTGACTCGACCGTTAAAGTCAAGACGAAAGTAACAGGGATCAAGGATTCGCTTCCATCTCTTTTGGTCCTTCCTTCATAATTCAGTAAGCAAATCTCGACGACCGTCTTCCCCGAATCACGTCTGCGAAACCGTGGAGTACCAAGAGCGCCCCGTCAAAGGTAACGTATCACGCATATATCTCGAAAATTGGCCTTTTTAAATCAATTTTTTTGAAAAGAATTTTATGATCAAAGCAATTTTACGACACTGTATTTATTTATATTAAATAATATTAAATAAATACATTGTTATATTTATTTATTTGTGATTGTATATTTCTTTTGTTCTATGTTGCGTGAATCTCGATATAATATATTTCAAAATATGATGCCTAAAGAAAAGAGATATGATCCGTACTGCACGTTACGTGTCATAAAACGAGGTATAAAGAGCGTGAAGTGGAAATAAACATATGCATCATTATATACGTATTCCAACCGCGTTTTTTCTCTCTGCACTGACGAGAGCTGTATTAGAGGAAGCGATAGACGATCTCGACATAACACTTACTAACCGGAAACGCGCATATTTTAGGGATCGCTGCTTTCCTTCTTATCAGTTGATTCGCATAAATGTAAATCCATTTTTGCAGAATGTTTTGCGTAAATCAATGTTAAATTATCTATCTATTATAATAATTTGGCCTAATCACAGAGACTTACGATAGCGACGAAATTTGGAAACTTCTACTCCCCACAGTTTGATATCTTAAATAAAAAACTTGTTTTAAAAAAATTTTGAAGAAATTTATGACGTGTATGTCAAATAAAATTTTCGAACATATGTATATCATTTGCGAAACACAGGCAATTAAAATGTGTAAATATTGAATTTTAAATAGCACATTCTCATCGACCATGAGTGAGCATCCATATATGTATAATTACTAATGCGTGATGATATACCTTCATGTGTTTGCGTAGCGAACTTGGGTGAGTATAGGATTTATCGCAGCTCGGTTGTCGACAAATATAAGGTTTGTCCGATGTGTGAACGTGGCTATGTTTCTTTCGATCGCTGCTATTCGCAAACCTCCTTTCGCAGCCGGGATATTCGCACTTAAAGGGCTTCTCGCCTGAAAAAACAGAAACACAATACAGATTCAAATAACGTTTTAATTAAATATAACATATAACATCTAGCGGGGCAAGAGATTGCTATAAACATAAAATATAAAATCGAAAAGGATTCGATAAAATTAATTAGATTAAAATTAATTTATAAAAATACTTGAGAGAATAATTAAAAATAATGTCAAGGTGCTAATCAGACATGTTACGAGTGCGATGAATTGGAATAGAGAGGAGTCAATTCGCATGATTACGTAGGTGTCAGTAATTAAAGGACAGTAATTACGCAAGCGCGCGCGTTACACCATACACAGAGAGCCTCATCTTGATAATAGCGTATCTTGATGAGTGGCGCGGCGCAACTCCTTTCGATGGCTTCTCTTGGCTTAGGCCATGCGAAGAGAAGAAGAGAGAGATATCGAGAGATAAGGTCCCCTGCACACGAATGGCCGCCGCAGTCGGGGCGCAACGAGACCGCGCGCGCGCGGTGGCGTGACTCTTATTTATTTCCAACGGAAGTTGACTGGAATATATTTTACCGTGTCGGTCCGCACCCCCGCATTCTACTCCCTCTTCCGGAGCTTCCTCCTTCTGGCGCTCTCGAGAAGAGCGGAGACGCGCGAACAGGAAGCGCGAACTTGGCGGATTTTTTATGGGAAAAATGGCGACCGGACTCTCTCTCTCTCTCTCTCTCTTTTTCTCTTTCTTTCTTGCGCTCTCGTCCTTGGACGAGTCACGGCTAGAATTGGGAATATGTGTTACCGAAACACATAAAACCGAGACGAGCGCTAAGGGGAATAATTCTGCGAGCGGAGTTGGATCTCGGAGTTTGAAATGGAATAGAGCTGATGTAAGGCCTCCTTTTTTTCTGCTTAAAATATTTTGATTACAAAAAAACATATTATTAGACAATGATTAGTATTAGTGATTTTTTTATTATTTTATATTTCAATTTTTAGTTTATTATATATCGTTCTTTTGCCATTAAAAAGGATAAATAGTTACTTATTGTTAATAAAAATGGATTCTTCTTCAAAGAACTGCCGTTTTATTCAATTTTATGAGGTTTACGAACATAACTGATTGTCTGATTGTCGCGATTGGTAATCTTGTATTTCTATAGCTTATTAAAATTTCACATGCATAACGATATTACGTTACTCGCCTTACGTGTGAAAAACATGTGTGATAAGATTACGAAGGCAAGAGTGACACGTACATATCGTGATACAAATTATATTCAAATCGTTCGGCGGGCATCTGCGGCACGCGGGCATCATAAGTAGGTGTCTTAAATATTTATGAAGCCGTGGAGAAAGAGAGATAGCGGTTTTCACGCACGGTGTCACCTGTTATCTCAAACGACTCTGCTGTAACTCAGTTTCATTTTCCTTTCCGTATTCGTTAAGGAAAGGAAACAGTTCAATTCTTGGATTTTATGACTTATTTTGCTTATCTCGATTGCAAAATGCGTTTGCAGCATGATACGAATCGAGATATACTTAACGATACACAATATATTTGCGACAATCTGAATATTTATAAGCATATAAAAAAGATAGTAAATTACTTAGAGCGCAAGTTCAACAAAAAAAAGTTTCTCAAAACTGTAACATGATAGAACAATTTCAAAGCGAGAATCACATGCGTCAAAAAAAAAAAGAAAAAAAAAAAGGAAAATGATTACTTCTTCTTTTGTATTTGAATATAAGAATTATTTGCTGTTGAATCCTATAATATATATTTTATCGAATAATTTGAATACGCGGCAATTTTACGATTCGCAGCGAATGACAGCGGCCGGTATATATGCGCGTGTCTCAATCTAGATCCCTGTTTCACAAAAGAAGTGCCCTCGACTTTTTGTGGCCGGTCTCCACCCATCGATTCACACCTCCTCGAGAGGAACCCTCTCGTGCCGAACGAAAAAGGGGCACGTTTGCATCGTCGCGGCCAATGTCGCCATCGTCTGGCGAGCCAACAGTTCGCGTGAAAAGGAGCCTCCTCTGGGAAGAAGGAAGGGGGAAGGGAGGGGGGGGGGAGGGGAGAGGAGGACGAGAGGCACTCCTTTCCAAAACAGGACGATTAATAACTTTTCAAATCTGTCCCCGGCAGGGCCGGGGAGACCTTCGGTAGCGCGCACGTTGGCAAATAAATAGCGGATAAATAAAAGCGCGCGCGCGCGTCTCTCCTACGTCGTTGCATTCTGTCGTGCGCGCGGGGTTGCGTGTGCAGATGGCAACAATATGCCATGAAATATTGCCGGCGGTCAATGTGTGCTACCGCCGCGATACGCCACGCACACAGCGTCAGGGCGAGACGACGATCGGTTGAATATAGGGTGTCCCAAAGATGCTTTATATCTTCAATTTTAATAACGGATCCTTCGAGCAATCTCTGAAATCGATCTCTTTCGATTAAGATGTCGACGCATCAATAGTTTTCAAATTAGTAAGCAATTGAAGACAGACGGCCTTCTCGCGAAATTATTCGTGCTCTTCGATCGGCGCAATCAAATACAGGCAAAATTTTAACTAATGAAATTTAAATAAATTATACACACATACATAGTTTCGATTCGAGGTTTTAATTACGAGACATCTGAATTTCTCATGATTCTCTTTGATAGAAAAAAAAGGTGAGGAATCGGTCATGAAAATTTTCATTTGGTCTTTCGAGACAGCCTGTATAGGATGATATACAAGCGTTGTGCATGTAGACGTATGCTTGAAAGATAATCATTCGTGTATGCGTGTCGTTATGCACATACGTGCACAGTCACAATACGAATTTGCGTGGCTCGAGATATATACGTACGTAACGCGCGAAATGTGTAGATACGGAGAAGTCCGATTGTGTGTCGGGTTCGCATCCCCGGACACGCATACCTGCGCCAGACTTGAAATTCATGGTGCACCAGGTTACACGCCGTGATATAGCACAGGCAAAGGGGAACTATCGAGGCAGTTCCCGAGGAGCGTAGTGTAGGCACAGACTGTTATGACTTTCAGAATGGGGAGGCACAATGGCCCAGATCCGCGCCGGATAAAATAGTTATTATAATCGTTTTGGCTACGCGCGGGGCTGGAATCGACGAGCGATACACGCGCGAGCTCGCGCGTGTAGGTACATTCGACATCTCGTGGATGTGCTAGATTTAGACACTATATTTCAGATAGTATTTTATATACGGGATATAGTATAGTCACATAAAAGATATTTGCGACTGAATCGTAAAATAGAATTGTCTATTCTAAAAGTTGAACAATATCTTGCATATCTAATTGCAAATAAAGTTTCAAGTATATGTAACGCGACGAATAATTTGATCGAGATTATTTAGCACGGATTATTTACACCACTATATTTTTTACAATGGATGTCTCGTTTCTAAACATTTGATGCCAGACATAATTATAATTAAAAATAAAAAAAAAATCATGGAATTATTTTATATGTGAATGCAAAAGAAGAAGAGAAATTGCATAATTCTGAAATATAATTTTATAAAACAGTTATTGTATATATATATTATTAAATATTCTTACTTTAATTTTTTTGTGTCTCCTTTTCTGAAAAACATTTTTATAAAAATTGTAATTCCTGATTATAAAATTGACGGATATTCTTAAAAAATGTAGGTGGTCTTCTCTCTAATTCTTTAAATTTCATAAATTTCGTGTGTTAAAAAACCTAAAATAACAGTATTTTCATTGAAAATTTTTTGAACGAGGGCAACAAATTTCCATAAAAGTCAGACTCATCCGATCGGAAGTGGTTCATCAGCTCGAAAAAGGCAAAAG